AGGCCACAATGTCGGGGCAACGTAAATATAGCCACAGGGTCGGGGCATGGAAAACATAGCCACAATGTCGGGGCTGAGCAAAAACATAGCCATAATGTCGAGGCTGAGCAAAAACATAGCCATAATGTCGAGGCTGAGCAAAAACATAGCCATAATGTCGAGGCTGAGCAAAAACATAGCCATAATGTCGAGGCTGAGCAAAAACATAGCCATAATGTCGAGGCTGAGCAAAAACATAGCCATAATGTCGAGGCTGAGCAAAAACATAGCCATATTGTCGAGGCTTACAAGACACATCACTTTCGAAAAAGGCTTCACATGCGTCCGGGGTCCACTCGCCTCGCCACTGAACCATGTGTTCCGCGGCGGTCTGAGTCTTCTTTCCGTATGACCCCGCGAGAAGGTCGAGCTCGAAGCGTTGATGGGGTAAGGCTCGTACAATCCTGTAGGAGCCGCGCGTCCCGGAGTCCAGTTTCCCAGTACTCTGCGCACCCTTGTTAATAAAGGCAAAAGTACCAGGAGCAAAAGTACGGGGCTGCCGACGACCTTCGTTGACATAGGCGTCTTGCTGCTGTTGATTTGAGCTGAGAAGTTCGGCTGCTCTCTGCCTTTTCAACACAAGCAGCGCCTCACGATTCGGGTGAGAGTTGTCCAACGCGACGTCTCGCACTAAGGGCCTAATAACTGGAGTGGTTCCTTCTATTCCAGTAAGTAGCTGTAAGGGCGAAGAACGTGTGGTTGCCTGCTTGGCTATGTTCAAGTTCAACTGCACCCACCACAACACATCAGACCACGAAACACCCTTATTTTGTACCTCTACACGTAACCTGCCAGGCCTAAGAATTGGCGTACCTCTCTAACATTCCTTGGTTTTGGAGACTTGACTAAAGCTTCGGTCTTACTTGGGCTCGGTCGTACCTGACCATGTCCAATTAATCGTCCTAGGTATTCTAGTTCAGTATTTGTGAGCTCGCGGTACATGACTCCAACTTAGATTTCTTAGGGCAATGTACTTGCTTATGTCCTATGTTGCCACAGGTAAAACAAATCAAACGGTCATATCTAGAGGGTTCGCGTTTACGCAAATTGGGTATACCGACGTCTGGAAAACGGCCAGGATTCTTGGTCACGATAGGTGCACTTTTAGGTTTTATATACACAGACAAAAATTCGACAAGGTCCCTTGAGTGTAGCTTAGCGTTGGTGGCAGCGGCTTTTATTTGAATGTCAGAAATTCCGCGGATTACGATAGCGGTTTTTAACTCTTCAGAAAGTCCCTTAACAATATTTAAACGCATAAGGGACTTTCGCGCATATTCCGCGTATGTACTAAATTTATTTGAACTTGTATTCATTACTTCAAACAAGATAGTAGCCATATCGACCTCACGTGGACACAGTGCTCGAAACTCTGTTTTAAAATTAGTCCAGGTTCGATCGTTGGTAACCCAGTCGCTTAACCACGAATTGGCATCACCTTTCAAGCAACTACCAATGCGTCCAAGACATTCGCGGTCGTCCCAATTATTTAAATCGCGCCCGCGATCCACCTCCGCGCACCACACGTCAAAGTCATGTATAGTCGGATCAAAGTTCGATATATAGTAATGCTTAGATCTTACTTTAAATAATGTAGAGAGTGCGCCAACAATCCTGTCCGCTGTCCCCCCGGCGTCATCACACGACGTATTGACAATCCCAGAGGTCTCCGTGGTTGCAGGCGCCCCGGTGCCCTCGGGAGCCGATACGGGTGTGCAGATTCCAACGCTAGGACGGGGTAACGGAGTTGAGGTAGACACCTCGGTTGCAGGCAGTCGTTTCTCAATCGCATTCAGTCTTTGCAGTACAATATTGAACGAGTCACTATGACGACTTCCGCGGTAGCTACGAGAATTATCGCGATGTCTATGAGCCGTGTCAAAGTTAGGAGACCTATTGCGATGTCTAGACGATCTAGCTCGTGACTCACGAGTGTCGTCCCGACGTTTAGAACGATCGCTACTCCAGTAACGCGTGTCACGGTTATGCTCACGAGAACTACGTCTTTTACTTCGTCTTATAGGTGGAGTTATGCAACTCGTTGAAACTGATCGACGGTCCGACATGACTGTAAACTATAAAATCACTTTTTCACAAAAATACGAAATGAAAACGCGCGCGGGTAGGATACCCCCCTTTTTTTATAAAAAAAAAAAAAACAAACGCCGATTACGCTTTACGTTATATAACACCAACAATTACGTGAGGTTGTTTTTAACAGTAATTAAGCTTAACGTTACACTATGATGGCGAGCAATCAAAAAGCGTGTCGAATCCCACTTCTGATCTTAAGAATTTGAAAAGCGAGTGATTTTTAAAAAAACAAAAGCTAAATAATTCTAACAACCGATTTAATTTTCACATTCAAAAGAATATAATCAAATTGTAAGTTCTATAATAAGAAACGATTTAGCAACACACTGCACTAAACACGTCCGTCCCGTCCGAGCGCTCGAAACAAAGTGAAAGGTCGGCTGGCTACGTCATCCAACCGGCTATTAAAAATTCCGGTGGTAGGGGAATTCATAAGAATACATATTTGCCATATAGGCAACTGTCTAGAGCGCTCAAATTTGGTGGTCCGCGGTGTTGAAATATACAAAATTTCGATACTGATACATGGTGTTTTTTGTGGTGCTTTTTTATTGGCATCGTTTCAGTGATTAGCCTAGGGCGTCAAATGTCATTAAGCCGACGCTACATATTTTTGAAATAATATCGATAAATAATCGTTACAGATTGATAGAGTACATCACTAGTTCTCTGAGAATGGACCGCCTTGTCTTTGTTGGCTCCGGTGATTAGTTCCCTGTCCCCGGTAATGATGATTGACGCACTGCAACGTCGTGACGTTCGGTGAATGAAAAATTATTTATTTATTTTATGGAGAGATACAAATTTAAAGTTTATCCAATTTCTTATATTTTCGTATTAGAAGTAGGATAAACTTTAACTGAAGGTAATATTTTATATGAATGTTAATAATAGTATTTATAAATCCATTAGCATTCATTCTTGATATATTGAATAATAGCTAATAAAATACAAATTAATACTTACATAAATACGATCATCCATCCATTCATTGTATACAATTTTTATGAAATTATTTTTGTAAAGAAACATTTAATAAAACCGGTAGCAATATAAATAAAACATTTCATAACTTCTAAAGTGGTTACCGAACTTAATAAATATATTTATAAGTCGAGCGGTTAATAATAAAAACTATGCAACTTAAGTATAACGCTCAGAATAAACCCCACATCAAATAAAGTGGCCAGAATTTTTTGAAATAATATTTTTAATCTTCATAACTTTATCTTGGCGAGACAGCGTCCCATTTTATTTAGACTAACATTTATAAAAGTTTCATCTTTGTATTAAAGTGTATCGTTCTAAGGAACGCGACCATCTTAACCCTGCAACTCACGCGTCTCGGGACTTTACAATGAGCTTTTAACCCTCCGTATGACGCGAACGTACTTCACAATTTTCATTTAGCTCCCGCTGAGGTTTAACTTGGTATGCCTTTGGCTGTTTGAATGATTTTCGTTGCTGCCATGATGAAGTTTAAAAAAAAAAATTATTACATAGTTTCGGTAGAAGTCTTTAGAAATTATGGAAAATATTTTTGCCTTTTCTTTAATCTGACTAACTGTCGATTGTATAGTCAACAGCACGTTTGGTTATACAAATCTGTTATATTTCTCCACTAGATTTTATTCACTAGACTATACTAGATTTTATACATTAACTAGTGTTCCCCATCGGTTTTTACTGTTATAAACATATAAACTTTCCTCTTGTATAATAATGATCATTTACAGAAATCTATTACAGAAATTTAACATATCGAAATGTAACCTGACGTGCAGCCGTATACAATATGATTTTATTTAGACGAAAGTGTGTTATCATTAGTTTCTAAAAATAAAAAAAAGAACCTATCATATGATGGATACCGATAATTTTATACTTTTGAATCGTATTGATACTATGAATCGAAAAAACAATTTTATGCATAATTAGAATGTTTCAGGTTACTGTACGGTTCATAACAAAATCCATCATCATTTTCAGTCACAGGAAAAAATCGATAAAGAATGTCGTTCAACTGAAGTCTCCATATATTTTTTTTCTAACGACGCATCTAATATATATAAAAGAGATTATGCATCAAAATGTAGCTGTCGAAATGTGGACAAATGGGTTCGATTTTCATCTCGGGGTACTTTGGACTGGTGAATTTTTTACGTATTTGTCTTGAGATAAATATAAATATAGCATTAAAATGAAAAATTGGTCAAATATAATGCCTAAAAATTCAGTCACAAGAATATGACTAAACTTATTATAATTTAATATATATTCGTAGAATTTTATTACATAGCGCATCACGCTAGTTCGTTTACTGCATGTGCTTGTGCTGCCCTCTGCTCCGAGTTTTGCGTCACATCGTGTTCTTTTTTGTAACACTGGTCATTACAGATAATATTATATTTCTGCAAGCTACATTTAGCTGTGTACGAAGGCCTGTAATGACAGCTCTCGTCTGGGCATTCAGACATCTAAGAGCGACTTAAGTGCCCTATTCTCTTTTCGTTCTCGACTGTCTCAAAGGCAATGACGTAATGACAGTAGAATACATTACCTATAAGGTATATACTAGATGGCAGACTCAATATAATTTTAATTTTTACAGTAACTTAATTTAGTTGTCGGAGAAGAAAGTTACCAAATTCAATTTATCTTGCATTTGGTTAAATTATAACAACAAATCGTATAAAAATATATTTTTTTTACTTTCTCAAATATTAGGCACTAATTAAATACATTAGCTAAAATATACCTTAAAAAATCACAATGTTGAAAATTCGAGGATAAATATTTTGGTGAATATATTTTCTCATTAATTTGATTAAATAAAAATAATTAATTTAGCTTTTAATATGATACATTCAAACTGTTTCACTAATGCTTTCTATATTTTTCTTCGTTTCTTCTGCAACGAATAACTCTGCATCTTTCTTTTCTGCCTTTTCTTGGTTATTAGGCATGCTAACGAGACATTCGATGTACGATGGGGGCTGATCAACCTTTTGCTTTTTTTCTGCCCTTACCTGTTTGATATATTCATGAATGATAAACAGGAATATCGATGCCATAACTGAAAAATGAAAAAGTATGTAAGTGACTTATTATATCTAACTTCGTTCTTAAATGGTTACGCACGTGTCCATCACCAGACTGTAACAATCCTAACTGCTGGGCTCAGAAATAGGGACAAAATCGAACAGGGAGAATGGGTCATGACCCACCACGCAGGTCCAAGGCAGTTAGTGGGTATTAACGACTGCAGATGCAGCCCGGACTAATCAACTTGCCTTCCGAAGTATAGAGCAGCTCGTGATAATAAATTTTTGGTCAACCCATGACCAGCCATTGAGAAAGTTTCTTATCAACCGTGTCGTAAGACGAGCGCGCTAACCACCGCGCCATCCAATCACACGTACTGTTTTTTTATTAATCATTGCATTTCCTTATTTAACTTTACCACGACAACGAGTTCGAATCTGTTTTTAAAACGGAACTAGCTGTTTTCCCGCTATTTCATCGGCTTCGTCCGCGTGGTCCCTAAGGAATTGTTTAGAGAGATAAATTGTATCCTATTATCTAAGTCAGCTAATACCCTATTTGTATAACAAATTCATACAAAAATTACAAAATCCGTTCAGTTGTTTCGGCGTGATTGACGGACAAACATCCAAACAAAGAAACTTTCACTTTTATAATATTAATAGGATTACTTACTCATATCCAACAGTTTTATGAACCAATAGTTGTCAGTGTTAAGGACATAGAAGAAACTGGGCTGATAAGTATAGTACATTATCTGTATAACCAGTTTTACGAGGGATAGACCGAAGAACATACGCATCGGTTCTGGATCTTTCTGCAATGAAGTTGGAAAAGAAGTTGGAATAATAAAGAACAGGAAAGAAGTTGGAATAATAAAAAAAATTATGTAAATACTTCAATTCAATTGTTAATTAAAAAATATGTAACAATTGTCGATGGTAACAATTTTATTGCACAATAAACTTCATTTTAGTTTTAATTCTGTCAAAGTAAAATTTCAATTATGTAAACAACTAAGATAACAGAAGTTACCTACCATATTATATAGAATACAAATATATCCTCTTATATATTTGATATATGACTACAAAATAATATTTAATACGAAATCAAACTAATATCAGTATTTCTAGTATAGATGTACTTAATTCAGTATGTGGTACAATAAAGTTTTCAAAATATTCCACCTTTTATGTCTTTTAAAAGTAAAGGGTATCGGGCCAGAGTCGTCAAATGAAAATCCACGTAACATTATAAATATTATATGGTACTTTTCTATATAAGACGTATCCTTAAACATCAACAGCGCATAAGACTCGACTCTTGCTGAGTCTTAAATTAGATGTAAGCTTAATTTACTTAGTGATTGAAAGATTAGAAATGGTTCTTCTTTTTTTTTTTTTTTTTTTTAAAAAAGAAATACACATAGCACAAGTGAACTGTCTGTAGAACTGTCTACAGTATTTAAAAACCTAATCAAAAACTTTTTTGAAACATAAATAAACTTTCTGAAGCTTTCTTGAAATCCATTAGAATACAACTCTTCATTGTAACGCTCGTTGGAATACAACTTACCTTGTGCACAGCCACGACGTATGCTCGCACGAATTTCAACCATATTATATTAATCAAAAAGTTCAGAATGTCTATCATGTTGACATGGAACATCCCGAAGTAGCAACGTGGTTCTGTCGTCAAAATCTGGTAATCGAAAAACAAGTTGTTTCTGTTCCTTAAGATCAAGGGGAATGGGTAGAAACCGTGAGTGCCTAAGTTCAGTAACAGAAGGAATGGCTCTAACCATGGCCAGTCGATGTTTTTAAGCTGAAAAAAATATATAATTACCATTAAATATTTAAATTATATTGACATTGATTATATTACCTACGTCATAAGCGAAATAATATTAGAAATAATACATATTTAAAAATATAATAGATTAGTTTTATTCCCGCGATTTCGCCCGCGAAAATTAACTTGGTTTCTGAATTGAGGATTTAAAGTTAATCACGTCTCAAACTGAACTTAAACGTCATAAATTAAATAGTAAATCATACATGTATATACAAATAATAAATATACCCAGGAACTTAAGGATGCATAGTGAGTGACAGATAGTGCTCTTTAACTAGTCCTTTAAAATGTGTATGCTTTGTGCACGTCTGATATCCTCTGGCAATGCATTCCAGAGACGGGTAGCTTGGAATGTAAATGATTTATTAATGAATTTACTGGCATGCATCGGTATTGACAACTTAAGTACTCCGATGACGTCATAACTCTAGCGTGCATGTTGTAAAGAAATTACAACATGCACGTTTTACACATAAAACGTTCCTTAAAGAAACAGGTGAAAAACGTTTGAACAGAATACTGTAAAGAAGGTAAACAATATGAACATTCCGGCGAAGACGAATTGGCAGCCACTCGAGCTTAGCACGGAAATAGGAACCAAATATAAATGTAATACAGAAATTTTGAAACCGGTCAAGTTTAGTCAATTGCACGTTGGTGGGATCTAGATAGCTGACATGGGCATAATCTAAAATTGGGAGGAGTAGACATCGTGCCAGCGCAGTTTTAGTGGCCAGTGACTTTTCTCCATGTAAAACTTAAAAAATTTAAGGAGAATAATCATTTTAGATTATTTACTTTCTCAATGGAGAAAGAAACCTTATGTTACCCTCGTGTGAAGTAGCGTACCTATTGTCCCGGAAAGTGTCAATTTTTTTAAAATTAATCAAATGGATTCGGAGCCTAATCGACGCATACAAATAAACAATTAAAAATTTTCTTTTTATAATAATAATTGCCACTTTATTGCTCACACATAATTATTAAGATAACGATATTGGTGCTAATGCTAGGGTGAGCAAAGAGACTCTTTCAGACAACCTTTGTTTCGTGTAACATGTGGAAAGAAAGACGGGAGGTAGCGAGCTAATAGTAAAGATGTAAACCAAAAATAAAATAATAAATAAAATGCACAAACATGTGAAATCCAAATTAGAAATTGATAAATTATATAAAATACATAAAGTTGTAAATACTGGCAGCATCTTTATGGTGACTGAAATAACTTTAAAGTTAATTGTAAGTTGCAGAAAACAAATTATTAAAAATAAAATGTAAAACTTACCGATTCTTCCGTAGCATCACATTGGAAACCTTTTGTTATAATTCCCACTATTGCGACATGGATACCAATATCAATGATACTGGCCAACTGAAAAATTTAACATAAAAAATATAAGTATAGGTAAAGATGACAGGAAATATCGACACGAATCACTCAACTTTATTAGATATATTAAAAAACTTCGCAAAAACTTTCAAGAATTTCTCTTATCTAAGATAATATTATTGAACAAAATTTGTACCAGAATAATTATTAATTCACAAGGAATAGATTTCATCATTTTTAGCACAAATTTTGCTCAATAATATAATGATAACATGGCTCAGATCCTTAACTAGGCAAACAAAACTCTCCTATTATGGAAATCTGAAGCAACTAAGGCACCTAAGGCACCACCTTTAGTTGCTTCAGATTATACAGAACTAAGATAATACAGAAAAGTTCATTGACTCAATCGGGAATTGGACCCGGGACTTCAGAAATGGAACCTTGTAAGCGGCGTGCGAGTCCAAGGAGATATTCTACATTCATACCATTAATATAAATCAGATCGTCACCATCAGCTCAACGGCAGATCGTTGGCACAGTGGTTAACACGTTCGATCTGCGATGTGGTTTTTAAGCAGTTTCCACAAAGGCGGGTTATAGGATGGGTGGCCAAATATCTGTTATTTAAGCTTCATACTTCGAAAGGCACGTTAAGCTGCGTTAAGCCATTGGTCCCATCTTCATTTGCAGTCGTTTACATACCCGTGGTGGTGTGTTAGATGGTGTTTATTGGCCTATTTTCCCTGTTCGATGCAATTCCATCTTTAGGGAAGGCATGTGCCAAAGCAATGGCGATATTAATAGGCTAATGATAATATAATTGACGCTGTCATAATGGTAGGTTTCCATAACGCAGTGTGTGTTCATTATAAACAACTTATTAATATCCCCACTGCTAAGGCACAGAAATTTCCTCTGCATAGAATCATATTACCACTGCCAAAACCCACGAAGCGATATTATTGCGGTTTTAATATCGAGATAACAAATTGGTACCCGTCCTCTGACTGGCCTGTACATCATACTAAAATACAGGTGATGATAAATTTTATTTACCAAATTCATATATCCGATGATGAGGCATTGCAGTCGTAGATTCAAAGACCATTTCTTTCTCTGCATTATCATGATGAACCTAAAATAAAGAAAGAAAGAAATAGTTAATTTTTGTAAACGTAAATACATATAACTTTTTAAATAAAGATACGTTATCATTTTGTCGTTCTCATTTATTGTGTTTTGCTACACAATTAAATGTTCGGTCACGTTTTATTTATTATTCAACTAGAATAATAATAAAACATATTTACAAATGTTTTATTCTTAGATATGAATATATTACATAATTAGAAATAACCATAGATAATATTTAACTCAACTTATTATTTTTAAGTTGACGCGATGTCATATTTATTTAAATTCAGAATTGCTCTGCGATTGTTATGTAGTCTGTGATGCGTTACTAATTCTCCTCTTTGTTATTATAATAGTAGTAATGTGAAAATATGCATGACTCAATGTTAAGATAATTTGCTACAAATATATAAAAATTGAGGAGCTTAGAACATTCGGTCTGCGATACGGTTGTTAAGCAACTTCCTCAAGGGCTGGTTATAGGATGGGTGACTAAAAATATAATCTGGAGCCATGTGCTTTGCAAGGTACGTTAAGTCGTTGATCCCGGCTGCATCTGCAGTCGTTAACACCCACCAATCCGCCCTGGGCCCACGTGGTTCTACCCCGATTCCACCCCAGCCTGTACCTCAGCTGTGGGGATATTAATAATCTGTTGAGGATATGAAATTTATTTGATCAGAAAAATGGACTGGCTTATTTTTTTAACTGTCAATTTTATTATGTTTTTAATGATTTTATTTTTTTCATTAATTAAACTTGATTACACTTTTATTATAATGATACGTTTTGCGCTTAAAACATATCTAATATGATAAATAAGGGGTCATCCATAAATTACGTCACACAAATTTCATAATTTTTGGCCCTTCCTTCGTTCTTGTTACAGCCGGTCACATTTGTGAGACTACCCCTCCCCCCCCCTCTATTCTACCCTAGTGTTACGTCAAATATTTTGCAATTTTACATTATTGGAAGAACTGTTTCGATGAAAATATTTGCGGTTCTGTTTTATTTACATATATATTACTTTTTAATAATATTAACATCAAAACAAACAATTAACAAAATAAAAAACGATTAACTGTGTCATTAAAGAAATTAACAGAACAAATAATATTTAAATGAAATATACATACTAAATAAATAGAGTCCATGGACTGTGAAGCCACTCCTTTAAATTATTTATAACTGACACAACAGCCACTACGTTCTCGTTTGGGTTGTTAACATCAAGAACATGTGTTAACATTTTTTTCATTCAACCATATAGTATTATCGCCATCATCCGCACAAAGAAGTTCTCTGGCACGTCTAGTAGCAATTCTTTGAAGACCAAACTTCGCGATAGGTAAAACTTCTTATTGCCTCTTATGTTATTGCTTGTGTTGATTGGTGGCCTTGTATGGTGCAACATACAAGGCCACTAATCAACACAGACTACAGGTGTTTAAAGTTGTATTAACACTTAGATTATAATAGATTTTGAAATGTGACCTCACAATATTTTGGACCCCTCCCACCCTCTTGTCACACAATGTCTCACTTCGTCGGCCCCCTCCTTGACGTGTGGCGTAATTTATGGAATGCCCCTTATTAATGTTTATTTGACTATATTAAAGAATCAAAAAACGTACCCTCTCTATTTAATTAGAAGTTATAATTATATGTATTTTTATAAATAAATAAATCAAAGCAAAGTTTTGCCATTACCAACATTCCGATATATGTTTAAACAACTTTCATTAATTAAAAATATAAGCATTAATTTATCATACTCTTACGCCATCTGTTGACGGAATACGTCTCAAACAAGTCAAAAATGATATCCCATGTTTAGATATCCATTATTTATTGCATTTTATATTGAAATGATGTGTATAAGTGCAACTTAGAGCACTAATTACAACATATTTTTTAAATATTTTGTAATATTAATACCACGAAGTATGTTATTGCTCAATACGGTATTTTGCTGATAGCGCAAAAAAGCACATTTATAAGGTAACGCTGTTGTCATCCATTACGATAAACGCAGAATAAAATGTTTTTTTTTATCGCAATTATCTATAGAATATAGATGGAGTTTTCAGTTGAAAGGGGTATATTAACAAACTTATTTCATTAAAGTTTGGATTAGTTTCTCTAATCTATATAGCCAGTTGCACAAACATCCATTAAAATAGTCATTAGTATTTAAGCATTTAAAAATTTCAAGTTTAGAATAAACATTAGAGCTTAAAACCTTCATTTAACCACAAACGTTTGTGTAACTAACCGTTAGTCATTAAATACAATTTATTTTTGATTTATTAATGTTATTAGTATATACAAAGTAACAAGTCCGGAATATTTCGGATGAATCATAATTTACCAATTACAGAAATGAAACGTATTCCATATTTACAAGTTTTAACATAAATAAGATTGGCACATATTGATTTTATATCCTATTTACAATGTTATAACGTACAAAATGAATCGGAGACTTTTGACTGTTTTGAATAATTTCACATGCTGTTAACTGTATTATTTAATTGATTTATAATTCATTAACGTCTTATTCGTTTTGGTTAAAGTATCTACGACAATGATTCTTATAGATCTTGTAAAAATCAAAAATTTAATTTTCACACGCTGATATATTATGGAGAATATTAATTTATTATTGTACTTCTTGATAGGCGTAGCTGGGGGGAACAGGGTGGTCCGGGCCCACCCTAGAAATATACCCCTCTTATACACATCATGTCTGGGGCCATGCAACCCCTAGAAAAAATCCCTAGCTACGCCAATGTACTTTATATTAATCGCTTTAAGTATCGCTGTCACTGTAAGAGTCGGTAAAAAAAAAAAAACAAAGCATGCATTCTTTATTTGCATTCTTGACACGTCAATGATGTTATAGCATCTGAATTATAAACATACAAACCCGTACAGAAGAAAAATATCACTAATCACTTATAAATCACTTTGAAACTGATAAATAACTCATATAAGAGACCTACTTGTCTTTTAATATTAATAAAAACACTTATTGGGTGTTTTATAACAAGAAAATTGCGACGAATAAATGTAACACGAACGAAATACGGCTGGCACTGTTTTTACCCGGCTGCGCAGTTCGACTGCGTACGCGCATCGGGTAAGCGTGTGTGTAAGTCGGCCATTATGAAATATTAAACGGTATGACAAAGCTAATGAATACGGTTAATGCATTTCTTCATAATATAAGGATATTATTAATTATTTCATTACGCATTGTTATCGTAGAACTGATTAAACAATATTATGTTTACTCGCTTTTATTTAAATTTATTGTATGTATAACGTTCGTTAAAATTAAAAATAAGATTTATTCATATGCGCTAAAAAGTGATAACAAAAAAACTTCGAAGTAAATTGAACCCTATCCTATGTATATACGTACATGTATAGAGAATTATCGTTATTTTTTTTTTTTAAATAAAAACGTATTATTTATGTTAAACTTTGGAGCAGAAAAGTCATTACCAAAAAAAGGCAATTAGTGATAATTATCATCATACTTCAGTCTGATAGGTCAGGCTGAACTGTAAGATACTACTGGGATTCATACATGGCGGATTATGGAACGACATGGATATAGCTTTTTTAGCTGCATCCGCAGTTCTCATAATAACATCCTCATCTCATCCAATTAGTGATGTACATCTGGGAATATTGCCACTGCCGGAAATTTTCCACTCCCAATATGCCCGGAAAATTTCCGGGCATATTGGGAATATTGCCGAAAGTTCCCAGGACTTTTTGTCGTATTATATAGATGAATAAGCATACTAAATCACTGCCTCGTTATGATTCTAACTTCAATACGTAACGTCTTCTACAATATCTGTATGTTAAAAACATCCTCAACTCGTCGTCGACCCGCAGCGGTGTCACCTCATAGAAATTAAATGAAATAAAACTTTATTACCTTTGTGCTTAGTTTTATTTGCCTGAATCTCTATGCTATGAGAGCGCTGCGCTCAACGACGAGTTCAACGTTTTGTAACAAAAATAATACTGCAGCTCCCGTTTATCGCTCCCGTTTATTACGAAATCGGGCGTAAACTTATAAATGTAGCTTTTGTGGCGATAATTTTACTTTAAAGAACGCAACCAAATTTGTGCATCATCTTGTAAACGCATTTAAACAATGCTCCGTCGACAAAAAAGAGGATATGGATAAAATTTTAAAAGAGAACACCAGAATCTTGCAATTCTACAAAAAATTCAAAATCACATATTCTAAAATCAGAATTTAAAAGACTCTGAGGATAAATCTATAAATATAACGCTCATATTTAAAACTAAATAGATGGGGAAGTTATTTACATTGTTTGGATTTTTTTTAAATGCTTGTATTTCCGACTATGGTGATCACTGACATTCGGGAACTGGATAACTATAAAGAAAATATCTTAAATGAATCAAAATGGGCCACGATTAAAAATCATATCAGATTTTTTACGCCAATTGTGCATTGGATCTCTAAGCTTGAGGGAGATTACTGAACGATATATTTAGTTTATGGAGCGTTATTAGATATCGAGGAGCTTTTAAATAGCAGAAACGCAATGGATGTATTAGAAGATAATTTACCATAACTCCGAGTCAAGTTTCTTGCACGAAAACAGACTGCTTTGAATAATTTGCATTTTGCCGCTGTTTGATACAAAATCTCGTGGTTCCAATTTAGAGAAGAAGATTATTTAGAAGGCTGTAATGCTATTATGAATTTTGCCACTACTAACGATGAATCTGGTAATTGATAAAGGAACTATCAGAATATAAATGCCGAAATAGGGTATATGCAAAAAATATTATTTGACAAGCTGCTAATACAATCGATCTAAAATAGTGGTGGATGACTTTTTTCGAAAATACATTATTGGATCAAATAGCAATTAAAATTTTACCAGAACCTGCTACGTCAGCTTCGGTTGAGAGGTCTTTTTCCACATTCTCGCATATTCATACTCGTAAAAGATACAAAGTAACAACAGAAAGAACAGGAAAAAGTAATTTTGACTAGTATTTAAGTAAATAACAATTTAAATCAAAGGAAAATTATTGATGTTTTATGATTTCATTAGACCACTGTATAAATGTATATATTACTTACTGTGTTCCTGCAACATCGCCCGTTGAAATTATAACCTATGTCACCCACATACGGTGTAGCTTCTCGTAGGTGAAAGAATTTTAAAATGTGCAAAGATAACCCCCCCCCCCCTCGCCCTTACAAACAAACTTAGAGACTTTACATCTTTACAATATTAGTATATAGGTACCTAGTATATATTAATTATGCATAAAAAACATTAATAAAAAGTTGGTTTGTTTATTTTAATTTTAGTTATTATTTTCATATGTTGATATTGAAAAATAATTCATTTTCTTTTAAACTGTTTTAATTATCTACTTTTGATATTAATACGTATTTTTATATATATATTTTGCATTTAATAGCGTAAGATATTCTACACTAAACAGATACCCATCGTTAAGATGTTTCTTGGGAACTTTGCCGGCAATAAACTGGAAATATTACTGGGAATTTTGCCGGGAACATTGCCAGTATCCTGGGAATATTCGTTATTATGATATAAAAATGTCAACCTTCGTATCCAGTACACAGGTAACCATAAAGTAATTCAAATTCAAACGAAATATTTTGAAAACTCGATAAATTTATCCAATAATCCCAGTAAATTTCCACTTTGGGAGCGTTGCCGGCAATGCTTCCAACAAAATTTCCAGTCCTTGGGAGTGTGCCCGGGCACGGTACATCACTACATCCAATAGATAGATCTATATGCAAGACATCTTAATACTTTGAAGTTGTTATACTGCATTAAAAGTTTGTTGTGTAAGTTATGAATGCATTTGTGTGTGTATGTCATGGGTAATAAGGTTAAGGTTGACACAAAACACTATTGAGTTGTTCTACTAAATATTATACACATAATTTTTACATTAACAATTCGTATAATGAAGATCACTAGATGCTAGAATTAGAATTATACATTACTTATAATAAATTAGATTTATAGCTTGTTATGCTTTTATGAATGAACGTTGATACTTATTTAAAAAGTGTAAAGTAATATTTAATATTATTATTTAATAAGGCTTATTGAAATAAAACAACAACTTTAATTAATTCATATTTGGTATTAAAGTTCTTTCTTATAGATATAATGAAGTTATAAATAAATTACTGTTTATTTAGAATTGGGTATCCACTTAAAACCGATTTAAATTAGTTTGTGTAAGCCCTAATGTTATCCACGCATGTGTGTGTGACTATGCACTTTGTAAAGAATAAATATAGTTGGATATGTGTGCTGCTGGTATCACTCACATAGTACTAGGAAAGATCCATAAATAGTTTCAATTTACAAATGAGATTGGTTTCGCGGTGATTCGATTTCATTGCCGTTTTATTTCGAACACATATCTATTTATTGTAAGTGATAGCAACATTGGTTTCGAAACATTATATGTTATTCAATATCTGATCTTACCTAATAGAGGTTTCACTGTAATTGATCTTAAAAACATTGTGCATATGAAAATATGGCAATGGTTATGGTTTCTTATCGAATGTGTACGGCCATTATAATAATAACTATGTAATTAAGTTCAACATATATTTCTTTATGATAGTATGACTCAATTTTAAACATTGGCTTGACTTGATAAACAAAATCGTATGAGAGAATCATTACCAATTGTGAGATAAAACATTTAGAATAATTTATCTGTAATTTCTGTGTAAACGTACTTATTAATAATCTTTAAGTTAATACCTTACGTTTAAGCTAAGTGATATTTAAGTTTTAATTATTAATAAAACTAATGACTTTTTATATTTTCTCGTGCACTATCCATAAATGAAACAACTTTAAAACGGTATTGAGTTTGTATTTAGTTTTATTGACATTTCGGATCCTTTACAGGTTTAACAATTACTTTACCTTGAATCGTATTTTTTTAATAAAATTGGAATTATAAAATGGCATTTTCTCAATCGAGAAGACGTCTTCAGCAAAAAATGTCTTGTTTATCAAGGTGACATGTGAATGTAATATGTATCAAAATTTTCGAATTTATATCTCTTCTCTATCATTGCCTCACTGCTGAGGATCGTGACTCCGTGTCATCTCGCCAACCATCCGTCTCCATCGGTTTCGCTCAGCTGCTTGGTGGAGTGCAGCACTGACTGGGATCTCAAGTACCTCCGAGACCTGGTCCGACCAACGTTTAGGGCTCTGGCCCCTGGGTCTTTTCCCCTCTATTTTCCCTATAACCATCAAGCGTTCCAGGTTATCGGTATCTCGTCGAGCAACGTGGCCGAATTATTGTAGAATGCGTCTCAGGTAGGTTGAAGAATCCCTCGAATTTATATAATTTTTTCATTTATAATATTCTATTTCCTAAATACTTATGCAATTTAATTAAAGGGAGATTTTTTTCACTTTAGTTTTAGAGAACAACAGAATTGCCACCATTACCACATACCTATATTTAAATACTATATTTTAAACATTAAATTATTTATAAAGTAAGCCGATGACTTAATATAGAAGCTTAGAAAGTTGTTCATAATATCTAAAAGTTTTAATATCGTAGATATAAGATTTTTATATCAACTAAGTAAGGTAATTTTTTTCCTTATTCATGACGTCACTACAGCGGAAAGTCCCACACTCATAAATTAGTATCATTATTTTCCGGTTCAAATCCGTTTTAAGAGACAAACAAATAGAAAGAGATGACAATACAAAAGTTTTAAAAAAGATAAATTTAATATCTCTATAAATTCACTACTAGAGACATAAATACCTCTTTTAATAATAAAAGAGGCAAGAAAGATATCATGTCTTATTTAATTTGAACAAACACTGTGACCCAGTTAAGTCGGAATCGAAGAAATGCACCTGGTTTTCTGTATTTTGTTAGACTAAGCATATTTTCTTGCTTCACTTGATTTGCATGAAAAAATCCTACATATTTTACCTATGTTAAAAAGTCTTCAATGGTTAAAATTTTAAAAAATGCATATTAATTGTATTATATTGTTATATTTAATAAATTTTGCATTCAAAATGCTATACTGAAAAATGTAATTAATGAACAATGCTTAAAAAAATCACTTTGTCCATGGCACACTCAGATGGGATTCTAACCCATGATCTTTCGCAATCCGAGCGAACGCCCGGTGCTACCACAAGGCTACTTTTCAACTTCATCGTCAAATTACAAAAGTAGGCCTTAACCAAAAAGAAATAAAACCTACTCATTAATATACGAATGAATCGTGAGTCATATTGATCGAATAATTGACTTTTATAAACTTTCTAACTTTTCTAACTTTCGCGTTGCATTATATTGTGGCGGTACCTGGAGAAAAAACTGGACGGTAGAAGTAGATTCCACTTCAGGAGATGAGACGTAGCATCGCAGAAACAGTCAGCCCGTGACCACGGCCGGTGTAACCTGGTCGAAACGTCGGGAAATATAGGTAGGTGAAAACCTAACTATCAGAATTTTAATTGCGTTAATACCCGTCGTATACAATCTAAATTGAATTTTAATTCTAAAAAGAGATTTTGTGTGGTGTAAGCGTCAAAGTAAAAAAAAAAGGCAACGCTGGTCGTGTAAATGTTTGTAAAAAAAGCTAAGCTAGCGCCATATTGGCTAAGGAATGTACTAAATAAACGTTTCGATCATAACTAGATTAAATTAGAAACTAGGCATGCAATTGAACGGCGCCATTCAATTAAATGAATTGGACGGCTGATTTGATCACTTGGCATACATAAATTATATTTACTAACGCATCGAATTAAATAAAAATTTCTAAATGAACTGAAACACTATTGTTAGTAGATAATCTAGATCGATAATCTGCCAGGTGCGCTGTATGGATGCATTATGGATGAAGACGAGCTTGCATATTGTATGATAGGCCGGTAGGGAACACGCAATCAATTGTTGAAAGATAATAATGGTTAAACGTGATAGATAACGAAATATATTGGTCGGTAATTATAGGGCACTTTTTAACCTTAAGATTGAAGCTTATTTAAAGAGAACTAAATAAATTGCTTCGTCTACACAAGGTGATTTTAGTGCACCGAGCCTAGATAATTATCTTAACTACTGCACACCGATACATTTCTGTTTCTTGTTCTTGTAGTTTCTTTTTGTCATGGAAATGTTTATGTGATGGAACTGTGTGCAATTGTTATCTTTCTATTTACAATAAACGATAAAAAAGGCAAGATTTGGATCAAATGAGTCATAAGAAATCACACAGAAACTAATCTTAATATGTATCAGTGATCAACAGCCATAATAACCTGGTGTGCGGTGATTATGACTTGAGAACATTGATACATGTTATCGAACTCTTAACCAAAGTTAGCGAACGGCCACAGGGCTTATTTTTCAGATTGAAATTTTCGGAAAAAAGTAAACAATAACGGGTGGTGGGTGCATGCGTTCGTTGTAATCGTTCTGTAAAAAACGTCAGGTGGTGCTTGTACTGTTTTTCTGTAACAATACTCAAAATCCATTATTCTTCGAAAAAATCAGACACCTGAGATAGAAATTGAAACCTTAACCTTTCCTAACCTTTCCTAATGCA